CTATGCAAGTCCCACTACTGGGCAAATGTCTCCTCTGTACAGATACATTAGGTCTTAGCCCATCACGCGACCCCACTGCTAAATGGCGGACTTGTTATTATTTAGAAAAAACGCAGATTACATCCCGTTGTATTCCTTCGCTGCTGAGCACGTGATAATGAGCACTTAAAATTAACAATTTCATTGATGCTGGCCCCGGGATTTGAACCCAGGATGCTCGAGTACTTAGATTCCGCGCCCGGACACTGAGCTATCAGAGCTCTTGAAAGCTATAAAGTATCTCTCACAATCTGATTATTCAATAAGTTTGTTCAGCATATATTATCCGCAGTTACATAAACTCTGTTCGGCAATAAAGCGAAGTATTTATTTGTACGAATGGCAAAACTCCACAAAGTGGGCTGGAGCCGCTTTACCTAGTTGTAGGATTGGCCTAGTTTGATCTACTTACGTCGTTATCTAGGCGCCGCTTTGCAATAATACGTGCGTCTGTCTTGTGAGAAATAGTCTCATACCCCGTTACTACGATTCACAATTACGCGATTAAATATAACTACTGTGAAGTAACTATTCAACGTTATCCTTCAAAGTACAAATTCTAGAAACATAATATAGGTATAATTTGATAGAAATATCAATATGACAAAAAAGTAGAGGCCAATAATCATCATTGTTGACTTATTACTTATTTATTATTGAAACATGTATTAAAATTTCGAAAGAAATTAGTTTCTGTAACAAATTCAGAAATGTTATTCAGTTTAGATTTATAAATTTTAAAGTTTTTTTTAAAGTGCTAATCTCTGCACTTAAGATTGAACATTAAAACATGTAGAAAAAGTACGAAAAGATTGTCGCCGCTGTGGGAATCGAACCCACGTCTTCGGCATTCGCGGCCTGACGCTCTAGCCACTGAGCTAAACGGCTGATAGCCACAGCGACGAAAATCTTAACGCCTTCTTTCTACATTGTTATTTAGCATTTGAAGCAATGCTTGGCGCATCTATTGTTATATCCTTTCCAGCATACAAACAATTTCGAATATCGTTTTACAACAATAATTCGAACGAGAGATGTCGCCATTGCTTTTTTATAAATTTTAAAGTTTTTTTAAAGTGCTAATCTCTGCACTTAAGATTTGAACATTAAAACTTTTATTTTTTGATTGAACATTTTGATTTGTTTTGAAAACTATACGGTTCAAATATATCAGCGGCTCGTAATCTCTGGCGAGCTCCAGAGAGGTAGCGAACAAATCGAAGTATATTATCTTGAATATAACATAAAGTCAGTGCAAAACAGCGGCAGCGGTTGTTATCAATAATAACCATAGTACCAAATTAACCACTTCTGAAAGTTCCCTCAATGTGACAGTTCCCTCACAAAACCTCACGATGTGTGGCGTAGCTAAACTATGGCGTAGCTCAACGCATGTACGCCGCAGTCGTAAAAAGACCTTAAAATATTTCTGAGTGCAATAAAATTCTTAAGCAACGGTTGCCTTTAAGTGTTGAATAATTAATGCGGATCGCAGACGGCGGTACTGTTGATAAGTTGGCCACGATTACCGGCTAGTGTGAGACTTACGTATTTTTGTCTCTGCTAATATTTAACACAACTCGTGTTTCATTGTGATCTATGTATATTAAATTTAACTCAAAATCTGTTGATTCCTTATAGTAACAATATTTAACAAAATTTCGTTAAAGTTACTATTGTTTTTATACAAGACATTGAATTTTATTCACCTAAGTGTTTTAAATAATAATAGCAAAAAACATGAATCTTATTCTTTATCTATTTAAATACTGCAGATCATTATATTAACCTTCTATAATACTATTACTGTACTAGATTTAACGTATACAACGGTTAGCTTACTCACCGAAAGTACAACTCAAACATAACGCTACTAAAGTAGTCAAGAATAATCATTGTCAACTCAATTTGACGGGGTTACCATGGAGCAATTGCGTTTTCACTCCCCCATTTTAAAAATAAAAGAGCACGAGTTAATACGTGTGGCAATTCCCGCCGGCCAGTCAGTGGCGCCTCGCCTCCGCAGCGCCGACCGCTCTGGCACAGATAAACAAACATCGCGTGGGCTCCTTTCTGTCTTGAGCTAACAATTTTGGCGCGCGAATGTTTTATTAGCCGGATGGATTGGTCCATTTCTAAACGGTGAATCACATTATGATATATTTTTTTATTAACATCAATTATCAGCTATATTATATTATATACTGTATTATATGTCCTAATTAATTTACCACACAATAGAAATTCATGACATTTAAATTTTATTTATCTGTGTGAAAAATTCAATGCTGCCCGATTATAAAGTTAAGCAATCATGATTAACTACCTTACGGCTAGTTAAGATTAATTCTTAAACGATTTCTCTAATTTTACTTGCAAATGTCAATGTCATTTTAAAGGTTTAACGGCGGAGGGACTGTGTCGGAATTTCTCATTGACTTATTACTTATACAGAAACAAGTTGAGCGCTCAAATTAACTCGACCATCGCTCTTGAAATAAGTTGTCAAATGCAATACACCTGCAACTCCATGGTTATAAAGTATACGACAGTGAAATTTTTCAACAAAAAAATGGGACTGTTTCGAGATGCCAACGGGTTAGCGGCCATTGTCAAAAAAGCAGCGTATTAACAGATTATATTCACAATTTTTTTTGCGTAAAATTTAAACTTTTCAACGCCGATGCTCAGAACGAATCCATAAAAAACACATAGACGCAGAGGCGTTAAAAATTCAATAAAATGACCGTAAAACCAGTTTGATTGCTTTCGATAATTACAATCGACCAAGATGGACCACCCGCGTTTCGGGAATAGCGGCAATAAAACACCGTGACACGAACTCGAGACTTCCTTGCAAGCGAATCAAGAATCGGCCGAGAGCGATAAATCACAGGAAACAGAATACATGATAACATTTAAATAATATATTGCCGATACGGCGTAACATCTCCAAATAAAGACGCTCGTCAAATACGTAGCGTTGCCAAAATGTTCAAATAAACACGAAATTCCGTAAATAGTCTAAAACTAAATAGATTGATTCGAAACCAGACCACCATAATATACCGCTTATTTGCAATCCCTGAGATTTAGAAAATGCGCAGTTCTTTAATTAAATTAGGTTTTGATTAAAGATACATTTCTGGATTAATACATTCGCTTTTCAAGATAATAGCAATATTAGCGTCAAAAGGAATTCCCCAAACATTTGGCTTATCTGTGAATAATTTTCGACGCACACCTCGGTCCGAAGAACAATAGAGTATCGGCGCATTGATATTCGAGACGTGTTAATCGTTTGTCCATTCGGAATCGATATTCTAATATTGATGACCGTAGGCGCTGTAGTGTCTACATGACGTTGCCTTCTACCACGATTATGCTGTGTTACTGTTAGCGATGGATTTGCATATGAAATAAATTGAAAACAAAGAACGCTATAATAAGAATAATAAAGTACGTAGAAAAAAGAGCTTGAAGTGTGAACGAAAAAAGGCGAGTGAATATGGCATAGAGTACAATACAAATAAACTACCTAATATAAATACTATAATAAAAAACATAAAAGAAAACTTAATAAAAGACATAGTAATTAATCGAAACATGAATCCATAGACAAATATAACAGATCAATAATCTTATACTTGTTTGTATTTTTATTGGTTATATTTTTTTTCTACCGACTTCAAAAAAGGTGGAGGTTCTCAATTGGACTGTGTATTTTTTTTTTAATGTTTGTTACTTCAGAACTTTCGACTGAGGATTCTGATGATACTTTTTTTATTTGAAAGTTGGCGCTTCCCATGTGGTCGCATATTAATTTTATCCGTTTGTTTTTCATCAATAATTTATGGGAGGCAAACGAGCGATCGCGTCGACAGATTATAATCGATCACAGCCGCCTATGGACCCATGCAGCAACGGAGGAACATCAGAAATAATAGCAGGTTTATTCAGAATCAAAACCCGCACTGTAAGCGGAATGCTTCTGGAGTAAACGTAACAAACAAGGCAGGCGGGGTGTGAGTGAGAGGTGGAATAGTTGGCTGCAAGTGGCCCCGACTCCGTTCGACGCTTGGCAGCGACGTGCCGGAGTCACCTTCGACGGGCTGTAATGGCGCACGGCGCATATATATTAGCTGTTTACTTGATGCATCGCGGCGAACGCGTGACAGGACTCGTACAATTTGCAAGGTCCCTACAGCTCTTGCCCAATGCTAACGCTGACGACAAAAAAGTATTGTCTATGGTATACTGTTCGCATACTCTTCTTTATATGCGACTTAAGTGCGTCGACAATTATTCTGCATTCGTAGGAACCTAAATATTTCAGTAACGTTTTTACGTTTGGATACGCAACGTCGTTCGTATTCCTATGCCTCTGCGTATGCAAGTACATAGTTGTTTTTAGAATAATGATGTTTTAATATAAAAATGTAAAACTTATTTTGCAGATCTGTGTCCATGCCGTTTACTGTCGATATTAGAGATATTTTTCAGTCAGACTTCTTGAAGTATGTTATCTTCATACCGACAAACGTATAGGGCGAAGTACTAAAATCGCGTCCAGAACAAAGCCCTCTTCTTGCCAAATCGACGAAGAAGGCCAGTTTTTGTTTATAGCTCTCAATTCCATACAATACATTGCACGAATGAGAGGAAGAATACGACTCCGTTGCAGTAAAATTAACATCGAGCGTTTTAAAACAACAACAAAAAATTCATTTTTTGCCACAAGATATATCAATATGCAACAAGTGTCTATTGGAAGCACAGCAGTCAAGTCTATATTATGGTTGCGGTTTCTATTACCACAAGAAACGTCATTTAGAATACCGAGCTCTTACGTTAATTACAGTTAATTAAAACGTTTTTTGAACAATGTTGTGTTGTTGTTCAACATCGATTAACTTGGGGAATGAAACGCCGAAATAGATATATCGTTGTTTTATCGCAACATGAGAGGACTCGATGCATCGATTACATCGGGGAACGAAACGTCGAAATCGATACGTCGATGTTTTTTGTCGCAACACGACATCGCGTCGACATTTCCATCCCTAGCCGCCGCCGAAACCGCGCCCGCGGCGCCGCGCTTCCGCCGGCCGCCGGAAGTGAGGTGCAACTGCCGCCAGCCCTCGCATTACGGGCGTCGCTTACACGCCAATTGCCATTGTGGCGCGCCATTGCCACCGTTCACCATTAGCGGTGGCTCAGTGGCTCGGCTTGGACACTGCGAGCTCGCGTATACAATCCCGAAGACGTGAACTAGTTTTCTGAATCAGCCGGTACGGCTCAACACATTTGTGGTTTAGCGACGCCAGCCCTGAAGATGATGAGCCCCAGATTACCTCCCTAATTCAAAGTGTATTATTATTAGTTCAGCGTAAGCCTAGGCTTCTGACATAATCATCGAAATGGCTGTTACACCTTTAGGCATGTGCTTGCGATACTTTAATAATGCAACAGACATTTTTCCAGCGACATGCCCACCACTTGTCTCGTTTGGGGTCTAATAAGCCTTGCAAAGCATCTCTACCGTGTAAGGAGTTGAAGATGAACGAGTTCTCTACATTCCTCACTGTTATTTTTAGCAGTATACGCTAAACATGCAGAAAACCGTAAATATCCTTCATAAAAGCTGAATTATTTTTTATTCTACGATTTATGTAGCGTTCATTTAATAAAGAAAGAATAAGGATTAAAAATAAAAAGAATCCCCATAGAGGACAAAAATAAACATTCGCTCGGTAACATTTCACAACACGTGCCGGAGTTTACAGATTCTTTATATTTTTGAATTACGAACGTTCCGAGCCGTACGCTTCGGGGAATGCCGTAATTGAACGCTTCGCGGGCATCGAGGTGTGGAAATTAATTGAGTTATTTGTTACGGGCTCCTTTTTGGATTGTTTTGAGCGCGTTGAAATAGTTGGCTGAGCTGGTTTTTCCTTTAAGAAAAACTCTTCTTAATCATTTCATCGTCAACATTTCTCTTACAATTTTTGTATTTATATTTTTATTATTCCTTGAATTAAAACGATGACTGCACGTCGATAAAAGCTAACGCATACAATTTCTGATTGAATTCCAGAATACTTTGTAGCGATCCTCTCAGCGGGGAAAAAAACTCTGTAATAAGATAGTTTTTTTTTCCGTAAAGGGCCACGTAACAGCGTGCACCCAAATTCGGAACGATAACCGCTTGGCCGTACAAACTTCTTTGTCCCGTATCGAACCTGCGACCCACGACTGTAGCCTTAGCAGCGACAAAGTAACTGGAGCTCAACAATTATTGTGTCCCATTTTAGAATGCTTCATTGTACACCACAACGACGAAAGCCCAGCCGTACCGCTGTAGTGTAACGAGATAATGTCGTTGTTAAAATGTATTTCCATAAAGTGCGTGTAGATAATTATCGCTGTTGTGCTGTGTTGTTCATTGGCTCATTTGAAAGTCATATTGTAAAGGGCCCGAAACCGTTCGGGCTAAAGGAGGGCCGTGAGTCGAATACAATTTAGGCAACGCTCATGATTATTGGTAAATCGTGTCAGAGTGAAACGTGAATTGTAAACGACGAACTTTTCTGCCCCAAAAATTCAATAAAGTTCATATTTTTAAGCAGTTCATATTAATTGAAGCTGGATTGAAGTTAGTTATTACAGCGTTAATGTACGATGGAATTTGTTGTTGAATATACTTGTAATGAAAATAACTGAATTCTAGAACTCGATTACGGTGGTAGGGCCACGCAGCAGCCTCGGCTGTTGCACGAATGGGCAGGCTCGTCCGGATGAGTACCACGACCTCACAGAAGACCGGCGTAAAGTGGAAGTATAATGCTTTCGCGTTTCGTCTGGTGAGTGAGGTGAGGTGGCCGGAGCCCAATTTTCAAAAGGTTGTCAACGTATCTGCAACCCTCGGGTGCAACAGATGTCCATTGCCGGCGGTATTCACTTAACATCAGGTGAACCGTCTGCTCGTTTGGCAACTTTTCACATAAAAAAAAGAATCTTAAGTTCATTAAAATGTTTAATATCCAGGTTTTGGACATGGATAGGGTATGCCCCCATAAAAATGTGATTATCGTCCTTACAACTTTTAACGTGATCAAAGAAATGAATATCAGACAAAGCTCATTTTGGATATATTTCATATGAAATTAGAACTAGCACTGATAAAAATATTTTTTAATCGAAAATGAAAAAGAAATTTAATCGAGCTGTCAATTGAACTAGATAATAATGCGATTTTAAAAATAAATCAAGTATGCTTTAAAACGAAATCCAACTGCCAGTTTTTCCCGAACTGCCAGTTGAAAAATTAAACATTTAAAAAATAAAACCACCTCGTAGTTAATAATCAAATCGAATTTCGAATGCTTTTTTTTTTTTCTAAAAATTCATCTCGTACCGCGGAAACGCGCGGGATGCAGCCGCGATAGCGATTTTTCACCCCGGCCCGACGACCGGCGCGCGAAGTCGTTCGCGGAAAGCGTTCGGCCCAGTTCGTTTTCGAGAAACTACTCTTTGTGCGCGCCATGACGCATCGGCACACGTTCGTATCCGTACTACGTACACGATTCTACATGTAATTTGTAAAAATAGATCATCGATCGGCCGGGAGCTCGAACAATGCAACGCACTCGATCGAAAATTACTGCGGGGAAACGAACGAACGAATAGCGTTCGATTTATTTATCGTTAAAACAACAATGTAGGTATTATTTATTTTGAATGGGAGATTTATATAAGAACGTGTTGGAATGTGTGCTATATAAACATGCAAATCTCCGGAAGTTTACATTCCTACTGACTACGTAAAAGCTTCTGGTCGAGGCGCTCGAAAAAGAACAGCATGTCTTTAGTTTTCAGTCACCATCATGGCGGCTTATCGTTATCATTTCAATTGCGTAGATTTGTCGGGATTATTTGGACTTATTAATGTTTCTTCGAGTCTAATCCAAATTTCCTTCTCACTTTATAATTCAACATCATCGGCGTTAAACAAAGAAGCGAACATACGAAGTGATTTAAGCGGCACCAAAATAACCTCGTCAATTTAACCCCGAAAATTGATTTAGCAATTAGAAGAAAAAAGAAGATAAGTAAAAATTGGTGACAATAAATTAGTAACGGAATGATGGTCGTTTATGCAAATAATTATGCACGCAATTTGTTATTTACAGCTCGTTAAAATTCCTGAGACTGAATGTGGGTTTTATAAATATTGAGGAATGTAAGGCATAACAATTGAAAGTTAAAATCGACGCTGAAATGTTAAATGTTTAAAATATTAATGTCTTTTTTTATGTCTTTGATTTAAAAGTTGCTTACCGAAAACCTGCTGAAGCAGCTTTTGAAACATATCAAACATATTAAATCTATTTCTTCTTTTAACGTTATCATGACATTACAAACTTCACAATTACGTCCGTTACATTAACCCTTGCCGCCTAAGTATGCTGATGAATTGACTCATTTCTTTTTCTTTTGGTCAATACAATAATAACAGAAACAACGTGACGTTAACAGTGGGTAGTGTTATTAAAAACGGTTTTCTTAATAACAATAAGATAAATTTCGAAATAACTTCAAACATATAATTGGTTAAAACATAAATATTTGATCATACCTTGTCAACGCTCTAACACCAACATGTGTTCCGCTAAGCAGGTGGACATATCTAAAATAAATCCAATTCCCCCGCTATCGTAATGAATCGCAACATAATGGTATGATTGTTGGATATCCCCCAAGTTACCCTTCTCTCGTCTCGCTTACACGCCATTGTAGCGTTAAACGCAAGGGAATAAAGGTGACAATCGCGCAAACGTCCCGCCCCCCAGGATGGCGCCGTCTACAATTTTGGCGCCAGACAAGTATTTAACGGAGACACCCTTCAATTATTTTCGTAAAAGATCAACTCCCCATGTCGTGCGACTACGCTTTTAACGTCTTTACCGTTCACCATTAAAATAAATATCCGTTAAGTTTTATGGCGTACCATAGACAGCAGTTTCAAAGTAGAGAGAAAACTTTTTTATATATCAACGTCCGTCGCATTACCTATACAAAGTATTTGAAAATAGAACAGTCTTTTTTTTTCCAACTAATCACCCACAGGCACAGAGAGATCAATATTCTGTTTAAATTTAATCGCATTATCGAAATTAAGAAAGCGATGAAACTAAAGCACTTAATCCTCTGTTGTCGAAAAGCGACAATTCTTGTTATGCTAATAGTCCGAATCAAGTTTTGGCACGAAACACATTATTTAGAATGGCAAAGAGCGGGCGTTTGAACATAGGACTACAAAAAGTCAATAATTGCTAGTTATAGCGGGATCGATCGTAAATCCTTCGAATTAAGTTTTTGCCACCATTTGTGGAATTCTTTCGCAAACTGGTGCCAATTCAATACCGGGTGGAATTTTAATTAAGCATATCGATAAATAGTAATCATTTTAAATACCGATGCATAATATTATGCATGAATATTCTAAAAATTCGTGTTATAACTTTCCTCCGGGGAATTTAAAATACTTTCATTATAATATACAAGTATATAATCAAAGTTAAAATGCTAGAATCACTGAACTACATACATATTCAATGTAACTTAAGTTTGAAAATGGATTGAATCGTACATTATAAATTCCTATTTTCAAATTGGCTGCTAAATCACTTTATTCAACTTGTGTCTTACATTTTCACTTCCATTTTTTAATAGTATGCAAGATGGAATCGTTCAGGAATTAAGCGCGTATTTACCGTTTCTTCTGAGCGGGAGGCGAGTGTGTACATTTCGTGTCAACCGAAGGGAACCCGTTGGGCCACGTGATTCCGGTTATCGGCGCTAAACGCTTTTATTATAACCGAACGCAACACCGATGCGTTAGTTGAGCGTATATCAAATTAATTGCCACGTTCACATGCGACCGTGTGAACGCGCGCCGTCCCGAAACGCACTCCGCTTAATATTTACATTTAGATAAATGGGCGCAGATTTATCGACGTAACGCGTTAAATGTAATTTTTTTCTTTTTATTGTCTCCAATTAAGTTGACAGTAACATTCCCTTTCGCTTGTTATCGCTACGAAGTCTATGAGATACATAAAAAATAATTTGAAAATCGAACGCATTCGTCTGGGAATGAGAAATTATTTGAATATTATCACGGCACGCCAGCCTGTTTTCAATCAAATAATCGATTTATGACTATCGCCAATCAGCTGCGCAAACGAGGCGTCGCGGTTTAATCTGTGAAGGATCGACGGCTTAGCGCTTTAAGGCGATTAATTAAAAACAGAGTGCATTGTCTGTGGCGCGGTGGGGAAAGCGGGCACAGATAACATCGGCTTAATGAGTAATGTAGGCGATCTATCATAGTAGGTACGCCGTCCTGGCCGGAATGGTGGCGGGCGAGGTCCCATGACGTCACTGGCGCCCGTCGTTTCGCCCGGGCACGTGTCGCGCATATGGCGTCCCGAAGCTTGCGTGATCACCACGATCCACGCAATCTCAAGAAATGCGTTGATTTCGTCGATTTTTTTATTTGCGCTAACGGCATCACTGAGTAAATTCGGCCGGTGACATACATACATATGTTTTTTTTTCGCATAATAGCAACATATTAAGCAAATGTCAGTCAGCACGCGGCAGTTTCTTCTGTTCTACGGAATGCCCCAGTCTAACTCGCTAAGCACCACTGTTTTACAGGAAACCGGCAAAGAGTAGAAGTCTTGTATCTTGTATTAACTGATGTTTTTGCTTTCAGGCTCGAGATTATTAAAGCTTCATCTAACGCAGAACCGGTAGGCTAGCCAGAACCCACGGGTTTGGATGATTATTATATTTAAACTCTTGCTTTTAAGCCGGTGAGGCATTATATGTAGAAAACCATCGATGATCGAATCATCGCACCGAAAACTTTATGCCAGATTTGTGTATTCGCTTTATTTTATAATTTCTTTTCCATTTTTGAATTTTCTTATTTTATTTTGACAAATTATACCCATATATTTTTGGCGGCATTTCGGATGCAGGGGAATATCTTTTCAAACTGATTTTTTGTTTTTCCGCACACAGTTTAAACGATACCGATTTACGGATTTTATCGCTCGTTTTGTATACAGCTATACTCAACGTTGACAATCGTTTACAGCGTTCATGGTCACGTGTCGGCCGAATATTTTTTCATAATCAACTACATAATAGAATCGTTCCGTTTTCCAACATCGTAGGTACGTCACGCGTCTAAGCGATGACAACCGCGTTTGCGGCTTAACGGGGCACCGAGGCGCCAAGTCGCCCGATACGGCGTTATCAGATGGCGCCGATAAGCGGTAGATCGGCCCAGTGACGTCACCGAACCGATCAATATCCCGCGTGACGTCATCGATCGGTCGGCACTTGCGCGGCCCGTCTGTGCGTCCGTTACCTCCGAGATCTTGAGAAAGTGACCATGCCTGAAACTCATCTTTCTACGGGCGCTGTGCCTTACGAGGCCTAAAGATATGAACTCGGGATCGCGAGTCTAAATAAAGTAAACTAAAGTAACACAGCCTATACATGTCCCACAGCTGGGCAAAGACCTCTTTACAGAGGGTATTAGAGAATAGTCCGCCATCGGCCACAATAGCCGATTGGCGGACATCACATTTCTTCGAACCGTTTTTTTTTGTTATTACGAAAATATGCAGCTTTCCTTACGACACTCTCTTTTACCGCTGAGCACATAACAATTCAGCACTTTTATTACTTATGATTAATACTTAACGATTATTACATTCGGTTATAAATAGTTTAAAATGAGGTAGAAGTAAAGTAGAAAATACATTTTACCCTCTGTCTCTAAGTAAAATAAATTTATTTTCACCGATAACGATAATAGCTATCGAAAATAATGACAAGGGCAATATATTTAGAATTCTTCAGTTTGTTTTTGGATCTATATAATTTTGACAGTCGCGTATAATAAACAAGGATAAGAAATGTGAATGTGTTAGATAATCAATTGATGAAATAAAATTTTGGTTTAAAGGACAAGACAAAATATGTAATTATACATTTTCTAAATGTAGTTTTTATTTTTATGAAAAGCTTTCACTGGTGCTAATATTTAACATTTTTGCATTTTATCACCCGAGTTAAAGTTAAACAGACACCTTAAGTATTAAGTGCTTGACGTGATAAGTCAAGGTGCTCCGCGGTGAAGGAAAACATCGTGAGGAAACCTGCATATTTTCGAAATAATAACAAAAAAAATTTTTTTCGAAGATATGTGAAGTCCGCCAATCCGCAGTGGGGCCGCGTGGTAGACTATGCCCTGATACCCTCTGTATAGAGGAGGTCTTTGCCCAGGAATGGAACCTTAATAGGCTGTTACTTTAGACACCTTAGGTTAATTAGTCTAGTCACAACTCCAAAGGCTAGATATTATAGATTTTTTTATATCCAGGGACAGAACCCTAACTAATATCAAAATCATAACCACAGTATGTAGACCATTTCTGATAAACTCTGAACTGCACAGATAAATTTATCTCTGTATAAAACTATGGAATATTTGAGTACTTAGTACAATACTTATCAAATTAAATGAACCGACGTAACAGGTCTTTTAAGAATAAATGAGTATAATATAAAAATTGAGAAATGTATAATCTATGTAGCACTTTATTCTCGTATAATTGTTTTAGATGTAGGATAACAATCCTTGTCCCGCGTTGAAAATTTTTTTTGCAATGTGAAGATTGTGTATAGTTAATTTATAAATCTGTGTCTCCCTTTATAATATTAAATGAAATATTTAAATCTAGTCTAGTTACACCAACGAACAATTCATTAGGTATCATAAACAAATTCAAAAATTTACTCCACTCATTAGAATACAGCGAAACTTATTGTTTATACAGTTAATGGTCACAGTAAACATTATTCATTAATGTTACTTACCCATGAAACCAAGATCTGCGTATTCCGAGGAACTTTCATCACTATAAGCACCCGAAAACTGGTGTAGCATGAGCACCAAACACACGCTAAAATTAACTACAGCCATCGCTCTGTCAATTAAAACTTATGTTAACTAAAGCACACAAGATGCGGCGCCAGTGTCAATCCTACATCACAAAACCCATCATCAGTCATCACCACCAAATGTCCTCACGAACTCCTGTTATTTTCGTTACTTTTGTAACACAATTTTATATTAACGCCAAGCGTAAAACTTCGCTTCACATTAGAAACCAAGGGTTGATACGATTTACAAATTTTAAATCCTTATACTTAATATTATTATCACAATAAATGAAGACGCGTCGAAATGTCAATAAACGAATTTCGCTACCACACAGACAAGTGATATAATTCGACTAGCGAATGCGACTGGCTCTGAGCGAGCGTGCCTGGTTGTTGTCGAATGGAATTGTGGACGGGACGGACTGAATGTGTGAATGAAACAGCTTAAAAGAACGAGACAGCAAATCGCCTGTTTTGAACTAGTGATGCTCCATATGTATTTGAAGTTGCAATGTCGACTGAGCGATAAAAATGTACATATTTTGTTTCTGGAAATGAACAAAATTCCAAATCAATACAAGCTGTACGTTGTAGTATTAATGTGATTTAATTAGTACAAAAACCAATTTTAATTATAAGATTAATAAAAGTTATTTTCGATAGTGTCAATAGGTTTTGCCAAGATAAATTGAACGTTATTCCCAATAAGTATCATGGAAATTTATTTGCAGTAACGACATACAGGCTACCGAAGGGTTTTTGCGCAGACCACGCGGTTCTTGGCAGAGTAAATTAACGTTTGGTTGGTTTTGTTGTTTTTAATTAGTGGCGTAGGTACCGCAACTTTCTACATATACACAATTAACAATTTTAGAGTACAGCGTCCGTCTGAGAAGGACTAATCATTGCTTGGAAATGACAATTTAGACATCGTCTACCTGACAATGTTTTTTACTGATTTCCTATGATAAGATATTTGACACAACGTCGATTATATTAGTTGATCTCTTTAAACAACAATAATAAATATGTTTAATTCAATAGAACTTTCCTTTACGAAATAAAAAGTTATTATACGGTACTTAGTATTTATGTAATATATAATAAGAATAAATTATTTTTAATTAGTAGTGACATAATAATTGTTATTAAATGCATAACTTAAAATAAATATTATAGTACAATATAAGTTTCGGAATACATATAAACTCCGTTTAGCGAGTTACCTGTATGTACTTAAGGAACAAAGATATTATATACAAACACGAGGTAGTCAGGTAGATAGGTCATGACACTATCACACCGAATCTGAGGCATTCAGATTACACCAATTAGTTTGCAGTTCAATAGACTGGTATCTCTTTCCAAATGATACGTTGAACGGTCTATATCATCTGTCACATTCGCTAATTTATGTCATACTAGATTTTCCCGTAAATAAATATCTTCCTTTAAACAAAAACCCACTTAAAAATAGCCTAGATGTCATTTCTCAGGCTTTAGACTATCTAAATCGGTTCAGTAGTTTTGGCGTGAAAGCGAGACAGACAGACAGAGTTACTTTCGTATATTTTAATTTAAAGCGGAACAATTTTTAAACGTCACGCGCTATAGACATACGTCTATATTAAACATCATTGTTACAGATGTTTATAAATTTGAAGTTCAAATTTTTGTTGTTTGCGCAAAAACACATGATAAACATTCAAGTATGACTAAATAATATTTTTTTTATTATTTTTATTTAAATATGTAATATGGTTTAAGAATAGGAAAATATTGCATCTGTGGATCAAAAAGTAAAAGAGAAAGATGACGAAAGGCTCTTCTTATTTAAAAGTCGAACTGAACATTCATTTCGAATGCTACTTAATCTAAGGCCATTACACACTTTTGATAAGTACCTTTACAGATTTTCTGAACTTTTAGAAAGTCCCCTAACGGAATTTCCGAAATTAAATAAACATATTGAATAATAACAATTATCGTTTATATGAAATCTTTTTCCCGCATACTCAAGTAAGTATCGAACATTTTTTAAACAGATGAACTTGAACCAATGAAATAACTTTTAAAGACGATGTTTTTTCCTATCAGTATTTGGCATAACGTAAACAGGTAAAAGGTTTTATAGAAGTTTATAATATGTAGACTTATCCTAGAAGTTACAGCAGAGAAATTAAAATAAATACCTTGAAATAGGTTTAAGTTCTTTCGTTGCACATGAATTTATTTCTTTTTAAAGTAAAATCAATTTTTTAAAATTTAAATACGAAAAAACTATTATAAATGATCTTATTAAAATAAGATAAATTATTAGCAATAATAAAAAGTAAAGTAAGAGTTACTAGGATTTATTAACCGTTTTCCGATGGTATTTTTTTATATGTGAAACGTTACCAAACGAGCAGACGGTTCACCTGATGTTAATCTTGTATCTTGTATTAATTGATGTTTGTGCTTTCAGTCCCGAGACGATTAAAGCTTCATCTGACGCAGAACCGGTGGGCTAGCCAGAACCCACGGGTTTGGGCCCTCCGCTGTGGGTAGGGCCACGCATGTGCTCATGCGTGCGTTTAAGTGTGGTGTGTCATCTAAGGGCCATCGAGGTCGCGGTTCGGACCGAAACCCCGATGGCCGTCGACTGTGCAATTAGCTAATCGGTGGCTGGGAGCGGTGAGAACCGCCCCGGAACGCGGGTGTACCTCGTGTACGCGTTGTGTTGGTCTCGCCGGGCTCGGAGGCGAGGGCGAACTAGTATATTTGTTGTTGCACTAGCTGTGGGTATAGTGTTATCCGGCGGGAACCTGATGTTAAGTGAATACCGCCGCCCATAGACATCTGCTACACCCGAGGGTTTGCAAATGTCAACCGTTGACAACCTTTTTGGAAATTGGGCTCCGGCTACCTCACTCACCAGACGAAACGCGAAAGTATTTATCATACTGCCACTTTACGCCGGTCTTCTGAAAGGTTGTGGTACTTACCCGGATGAACCTGCCCATTCGTGCATCAGCCGAGACTGCTGCGTGGCTCTACCACCGTTAAATAATTAAAAGCATTTAATTTTATATTGTTTTCACAAACAAACATGCACAACTCACAACTGCTTCCTCATTTATGTAAATAATATTGCAATTATTGAAATGTTGCTATCGCTAGTGCAGTCCAAACTTTACGCTGACAGCGCACGCCATTTAAAAAACAAAGAGAAGACGCCAGCGCATGCAACAAGCCCCTTTGTTGGGACCGGAATGCGCTCAATCCGAGGCCCTTTTCGACCGGCCCTTGTATATATTAATAACCTATAATGACTCTCCCTTGCTCGGTAGCTTGCCTCACGAAAATGGTCGATACGGACGTGTATTTACTTAAAAATAACTCCAACAAATATGGCGTTTGCAAAAAATAAATAAAGTTTGAAACTACATCACAAGTAGGCATCATATTAATATTTATCTTCGCCTTTCGTTATACATATAAACGAACTTTGTTACTATCGACTATTTAGTATATTTAGGTACACGAATAAGATATTTTACAACAGAAAATATATCTCGGTCGGTACAAGAAATTTTAATTAAAATTAGCCCGTTTTACCTGACCTCTAAAACTTTTGAAACGAAAACAATGCGTACTTAAAACACTCAGACGGTTGTTCGTCAACAGTTCCAAGACAATATTGAGGATGAAACAAAGGAATTTTTGAAATTTCTCGTTGTAAAGTTAATTATACGGGAGAAATTCCGAGAAGGCGAGGTATTTGGTTGTGGCCACGAAACGCACGACGGCGAACATCTAGGCCGGGCAAGTTCCGTGCGATTTTATTATTTACTTACATTTTCTTAATTTCAAATGACACTCGAATATAAAAGTAACAGCCTATTATGTCCCACTGCTGGGCAAAGGCCTCCATTGGACAGAAGGTATTAGGATATAGTCCACACTCGAAAATACTTAATAATAATATTTAATTATTAAAATAAATATTACGGGCATAAAATTTGTGCGCGTAACTGTATAAAAAATATTTATTAATATTTTGTCGCTTTTTTTTTCTTTTTGTATTTTGCCATTTTGATTTTCTATTCAAAGATGCGCAATGAAACGCCATTCTCTCGGCCCCATCTCGGCTGGCGCCTGACTCAACAGGTTGCTTATCGTGGATCTCGTGGCGCGATAAGGGGGAGAAAAAGCCGCCGCTAAGCAAACAATGCTTTCGGGGATTTATGTCCGTAATGCTTTAACGGCAACTTGGGCTGCTATTGTTTTATTGCGATAATGCCCAGCCCTTGTCCAACCTTAAATGGAACGTCTTCGCTGAAGAAGTACTTACTTAACTAATAATGCTGTCGCGGCGCCTCAACAGTAGTGCCGCTTTCCAAGAAACACTTTACTAGGACCTTATTACTAGTAACGTGACAAACTCGCAGCTTATCGCTGTGAAATTCCAACAGCGCCCGATAATCATTGTAGAAATTAACTAATCTGAGAGCTGATTTGAGTTTAAAAGGAGGGTAAAACTCTATGAATTGACCAGAATTATCTTCTTTATTATTAGAATGATTAATTCAAAGAGTCCAACCATACTATTGATTAGTTGACTTTTACGATGATCAGCGTTTCAGAAACCGAGTGTAAGTGTTGTGTCAATATCTCCATCTTTATTCTTATAACTCGCTATCGGCTATTAAAGCTTGATCGTACGCAGGGCAGGAACAATCAGATTCCAGGAGCTTGGTGCGACCCTCAGCGTAGGATAGACTCGCGCACATGCTCACATGTGAGTTAGCTACTGAGGTATTGTTTCTAATGGTCCATCGGGGTTCGGTGTGCCGCTGACTTTATTAATAGTTTTGAAATGTTCGTTATTTATTTTGTTGTATCATGATTTTGTATAAAATTGGTAAACGGCACAAAGAAAATAGGGTGATGTAACTAATTTATTATAACAGTTATTCATTAATCTTAAGAATATCAATCATCACATCTTACAGTCTACAACTTAAGTACTTAATAAGTAATTGAAAACACCTTTCATCCGTTAAAATTAAATGACGAATTATTCTCATTACGTTAAGTTTTCATGTCCATCCGTTACGCGGTGCGGCTTACGTTTCGGTCTAGGCCTTGGTGTTGTGGTTGTTGTTGTTGTTGTGGTGGTGGTGGTTGTGGTAGTGGTGGTGGTCGTCGTGGTGGTCGTTGGAGTGGTCGTTATTGTCGGAGTTGTAGTAGTAGTTGGGGTTGTCGTTGTAGTAGGTGTGGTTGTCGTCGTAGGTGTAGTTGTCGTCGTAGGTGTGGTTGTCGTTGTAGGTGTAGGTGTCGTTGTAGGCGTGGTTGTCGTTGTGGGTGTAGTTGTAGTAGTCGGGGTAGTTGTTGTAGTCGGGGTGGTAGTCGTAGTTGGTGTGGTTGTGGTAGTCGGTGTGGTTGTGGTAGTCGGGGTGGTTGATGTCGTTGTCGCAGGCGGCGCTGTCGTTGTAGTTTGAGTAGTGGTTGTCATCGTCGTAACAGGAGGTGGCACTGCTGTCGTCGTCATTAACGTGGTTGTGGTAGTTGGAGTGGTAGTAGTTGCTACCGTCGTAGTTGTTGGACTGGTCGTGGTGGTCGTCGGCGTGGTCGTTGTCATCTTCTTGGTGAACCTCAGCTGTAGCATCGCCTTGGTCGTCTCGGTCCCGCCCAATATGGCCTTGACCACGCTCGCTGGTATCCAGTGGCCAGGCATGTTTGCCTCGACGGGGTTTGCGATGAAAACAAGCGGATCTTCCCGAAAATCGGCCCTCGTACATTGAAATATAAGACCGCATAATGATACGACACACACCGCACGGACGTTCAAACTGGACAACACTAAAAGACAAGAAATGAGTTAAAAAAACTTAGCTAAAAGGTTTTGGAACGAAAAACCTATGTTAACGGTTGAGCTATTTGAATATTTTAATAAACTAAAAACGATCCGCCAATGTTTGACCCATGTTGTTGCATTAAGCTTTACACTAAGCAATTGGTAAGTCAACTCCTACTTAGTTTAACAACTTTTTATCAACATGTAGTGGAAGTATGAAAGTCGTTTTATATATTTAATATAATTCAACATCCAAGTCTGATAAGTATCACCAAAAATAACTTATGCGATATTTTTTTCGTTATAATTTGATCAACTCACTTGGTTATCTATCGTTTCTTTGGAACAATCGATATTGTTTTATCTCTCTCATGTTTCAATTCACTCATGAATCCTCCGTGCTGTTCTTAGGCATAGATCGTTTCCTCCAAGTGCCGCTTGCGAAATCTTTAATTGTGCGTGCAATCAACCATCGCTTTATGACGTTTGATTGAAACGCTCGTTTGAAATATCAAATTGACATGATATTGAAAATAACATAAGCATCAATTAAATTGGAATGCCAGGCATACCCGTAAGTGTCATTAAATTAACGTTCTTGGGCATTAGTCTTTCGGCGATAAATTGTAATAGAGGTTGCGAAATATATTGCCAAAAATCCGGCCAAGTGCGAGTCCGACTAGCGCACGAAGGGTTCCATACCATTATCTATAAAAATGGCAAAAAAAATTTACTGTTGCATTTGTTTATTTGTTGTCATAGCGGCAACGAAAATACATCATTTGTGAAAATTTATAATTTTATGTTATATGTATGTTAATATTGTAATATACCGTTTAATTTTTTTTATATGGCAAGTACAGTATTTTTAGCTTATTGCATCTTCAATAATTCCTTTTTTTTATTTTATAATCAATGCACCAGCATTAATTTCTCTGGGCCACCCCAAAGTTGACTGGTAGACAATGCTTGTTATTACTTGATTAGCATTAAGGCCGCTTTTGTATTTTCATTTTTGTAAATACAGAATTAATTGATAAATGAATAAATGTAGAAGTATTTACTTTGCTTTTCAATTACCCCATTGGATGTACTAGGACCGTTAACTAGTTTCGAGTTAATACTTCACAGGTTTTACACAAATATAATGAACAGTATACAAACTCTGCATTACAGGTTTTCCCTACTTTTTAAAAATAAATCTAGTTATAAAAGTATAATATTTTAACACACCGAGGTTCGACGATTCCGATCTCGAAAAATGTATATTTTTGTTCAACTGTGAGTCCAAGTTGGTTTTAATAATTTGGTCATCCGAATAGCATGCTCCGGTGGTTTTAAATTTAAATTTCATATTAATTATCATAGAAAAATTATCTTTTGGCTTGCTTAACATAATCGTGAGAACATAGGATGTCGTATATTCTCTAAATAATTCGTTTATTCTAATTTACTTATTCAAATAAATTAAAATGTAAACTGTAAAGATATGAAGTCACTCCTATATTTGAGTAAATAAATTCAATAAACCTTTTATGGAGGTTTTAGTCAAATGAAACCATTTATCGCCAAAGGCTTAAAAATAAAACTGCTGTCTAATAAATTTTATAACAATAAAGTTGGAAAGAAGTTTTAGTAAATCTCTCCTTGAACTCAAATCTACAGAATGTAGATGTAGTAAATATAGCGTTTAAAATTCTGATATTCAAAAATTTTTATTTGCCAAATGTTTTAATTGATGAAATAGGGGGTTTCATGCTTAGCTCTTGATCGTGCGATTAAACTTAGGCATTTGTGTAAGGTTTAATTTCAGTGACTTCATCATTATATAAGAGGGAAAAATACGAAAATGATAAGCCATTAATTATGAAAAAAAGTTTCCTCGATATCATTATTTTCATGCTATTGTATATTTGCAATTTTTTTTTCGAATTAAAAATGTGGTTTTGGTAATCTAGTAAATAAATATTGATAACAAAACTAATAAAAAAAACTAAAATGAAAAAAGTACGTAAGGCAAAGTTTTATTAAAGGCATTAGGCGATTTTGCGAACTTAAGCGAGATTTTCATGTTGGTCTCTGGGCTGTTTACGTTTCGGCTTTCTTGGCTCGGTCGGTGGTTCCGTTGGTGGCTCAGTTGGTGGCTCGGTTGGTGGCTCGGTTGGTGGCTCGGTTGGTGGCTCGGTTGGTGGCTCGGTTGGTGGCTCGGTTGGTGGCTCGGTTGGTGGCTCGGCTGGTGGCTCAGTCGGTGGCTCAGTCGGAGGTTCAGTCGGTGGTTCGGTTGGTGGCTGAGTCGGTGGCTCGGTTGGTGGCTGAGTCGGTGGCTCAGTCGGTGGCTCGGTTGGTGGCTCAGTCGGTGGTTCCGTCGCGGGCTGAGTGGGGGGCTCTGTTGCGGGTTCTGTCGGTAGCGTGGGTGGTTTGGTAGTCGGGGGATCAGTGGGTGCTTCGGTTATGGGTTCCGTTGCAACGGTGGTGGGTGTGGTCGGCGCCGGGGTCTTCGGGAGCATCAGCTTGACGGGGCGCTGCGCCGTCGTCCCTTCCAGGATCACCTTCAGGACACTCAGAGGCACCCAATGCCCGGGCATGTCCGCTTCAACGGGATTCGCGATGAACATCAAAGGATCGTCGTTGGCCTCGGACGCCGTCATCCCAATTATCATAGAACCAATCGCGAAGAGAATAGTTGCTAGCGTTTTGACGACTGCACTGAACTCCACTGAAAAGAGCGTGTGTTACACATAAAACTGTACAGTGCATCTGTTTCTGAACAACATCTGAACAAACTAATAATTTTCGAACCAACGATATTTACGGGTGTATGACTACAGTCTGATTTTTAAGGCCCATTTACATGATGCCATTTTCTTGTACATACAAGAGCAATAATTGAATGCAATAAATTGCGCGCAATAATTGGTTAGACCATTTGTTGTTTAGACCATGCAACTCATTTATTGCTTCAATTTAATTGTATACAACAGGCAAGAAATTGGTACCGTGTAAATGGGCCTTTATGCTTCTATTACTGAACAACATCTGAACAACTTAATATATATCGTTTCAATTGTAACGATATATAGGTGGGTGCGATTACAGTCTGGTTTTTGTTTCAGTCACTACTGTCATACAATTTCTGTGGGTCAAAGGGCAAAGTTTAGATTTCCGCATTGAAAACTAAAACAAATAGACTAATTTATATACTATTTTGCGCGAAGACGACTGAAAATATATACCCAGTAATTTAGTACCACACCTTACTGTAATAAATATATTATGATTTTGAAATAAGTAAGTACAAGTGACGAGCTTATAACACGACAGAATCTGTGAATCATAAAATTTATAGCTAGCAAGTATGGAAAGCGGTTAGCTGATTATTTTCATTTCGTTCCTTTCGTACGTAAAATGACAGATTGAATATATTAAAAAAAAGTAAACATATATGTCCCACTGCCGGGGAAAGCTCTCCGATGAAATCGTTACTTTCACAATATGCAGGTTCCTCACGACGTTTTCATTAACCGATGCGCCTGCAACTACTTGATTGGTGCCGGCATCAGAATTTGAACTCGGGTTGCTCGAGTGAATTGGATTAAAAGCTCGGATACTGAGCTATCACGTTTCGAAATAAAAATATTAATCGATGTAAAGATAGACTTTAGCGTATTCCTGTCTACAAAATCAAATTAACACTCTGTCTTACTTTACTGTATTACTGTGTTGTCTTACTTTTCCGTTTCATATAAATGTTTCGGTGACGCAGTAGTAATATTTGATCCACTTCATTTTTCGACGTGTTCGATGACTAAACCTGAGGCGCAAGAGTCATGTCTCTCACTCAAGTGGCCAAATTGAATTCCGCGAAATGAAATTGGCCGTGGTTTTCTATTAACGGAACGGTATCACGAAAATAATTAACACGGCTCGTTAATAACACATATCGCGTGTTTTGACCATGGTAATGTAGAGATGGTTACACGATGTGAAACCAATTCTTATTTGCTATGCGGTTTTAGCTTTCTGGTTTTAGGTTTCGTTGTTCTGACAACGTAGAAAGTACGTACAACGTAGGTTTTAAATTGAATGTGACAGATGATATAGAACATAATTATGATGCGGAAAGAGATAGCAGTATATAGAAAGCAATCTAATTAAACCAATTGGCGTAATATGAGCTCCTCATATCGGTGCTCTAGTGTAATGTACTTCGTATTTGTATATAATATCATTGCTTTTGGATAAACGATGTTTTCTACATTTAGTCTGAGTACTCTATCCTCTTGAGCAGTTGTGTTTTTAACGTTAAATAAAAATGTAGTAAGTAATAACGAAACCTTATCAATATTCTCATGCTAATAATACTCAAATATTAAGAACAGAGTTTTTCAACAGAGACGCTAAAAGATTAACAGCATGTAATTGCTATGCTGGAAAAGCTACAACTGTCATATTTGTTATGGATACTTATTAGTTAATTTTAACATTACACTATAGTTCGCTTTACGCGTTCACAATCAGTTCCATTGCAGTAGTAAAAATATTTATTAAAATCGCCTAACGGTCTGTATACTAATATACAATTTTTTGGCATTTGTAGGTTTCCTGTAAAAACCACGATCCGCGTCGATTCACGGATGTTGGTGAGTTACCACAAAGTTCAATTAACCCAAGCACTTGCAGCGCAACGACCACAGACGGTGCCGTGTATGGAGGCGACAACGCTGATTAGGCTTTAGGCCATATGGCGGCTGACCCTGTTTTCTGCAAATTTATCCTCATTGATGAAGGTCATTTCTGGGTTTAATGGTTGATGTTTTGTAAACAAACAAATTTGGCGGATTTTGAAACGGAAAAAATCCACGGAAGGTTCAGCAGTTGCCTTTACACTCTGAATATATTGCTGTTTGGTGTCGAATTTTGTCCGGCGCTATATCTCTTCTTTGGCATTTATATCTTCGACGATATGCTGTCGAGCCGAGCTTACCATTTTTAATTTAACAATTAATTAAAATCTTTCAAAGCCAATATAGTTATAGTAAAATTTAGGTGGCATAAAATAGATGGTATTGATATCGCAATCATTTGGTTCCACCACCTCGCGTACAGTAGAGTTGCAGTGAAAATATATTAAATTATATACCATGTATATTTTTTTACGTAAAGTGTTAAAGCAAGCAGGTGCTTCACCTCATGTTTTTTTTTATATGAAAGTTGCCAAACGAGCAGACAGTTCACCTGATGTTAAGTGAATACCGCCGCCCATGGACATCTGCTACACCCGAGGGTTGCAGATGCGATGGACAACCTTTTGAAAATTGGGCTCCGGCCACCTCACTCACCAGACGAAACGCGAAAGTATTTTACTTCCACTTGACGCCGGTTTTCTGTGAGGTCGTGGTACTTACCCGTACGAGCCTGCCCATTCCTGCAGCAGCCGAGGCTCCTGCGTCTCCCTACCACCGAAATATAATGTATGAACTGTCTTCAAGAAAAGCTTCATTGTTGTTTAGTACACAGTCTTATCTCAACTTAAGATTTATATATAAATCTATATAATCCGTCTATTATATTATAGACCGATTATTGTGAGGTTAAATAATAATTTCTTATTCTCATTTATAGTCATTTTGTTATATACCTTTTTTCATTATGAGCAGGAACTAAACTGATATCAGCGCAGATTTACAATAACATTCTAGTTAATATTTTATTTAATTTACATCCTGCCTTTAAGCCTGTCATATTATTTGGGAGTATTAGTCAGTAGCATTTTGTCATGTAGGCTCACTTATAGCGATAACCGAAAGCACAAAATGTGCGGTGGGCGAGAGGGGATCTTGGTAAATATCACGTATGTATTATAATTTCACATTTTTAAGTTTCATCTTGAATGCGGAGATTAACACTAAAAAGAAAACTGTGATATATTTTAAGGCAAAGGCGATACCTCTAGTTAACAGCTATTCAACGTTAAATGTTATTTGGTGTTTCATGATTACACATAATGGCGCCAAGTATTGTTGCAATGCAGAAAGTACGTACATATCAAGATGAAAACTTTAAGAAAGTGATTAGTAAATCCAGTGATTTAGGTCAGTATCCTCGGCAGGCCTTTTTATATTTTTTGGGCTTGGGTTCTTCGCTTTATAGGTTGTTGGAAATTAAATGAAAAATAAAAACTTTCAACCAGTTCGCGGATGAAGAATTTTTGATAACATTTATTTGTCATAGTACTTTCCAATTTTACTTCAATACTTATTCTTTACAAAAGTTTTTTTTTTTATGGAGAAAAGGGGCAATTTTATGTTTTTTTTACAGTTTTATTACAATGTTTACAATTATATGCGATGGATAAAAAAGGGAGACTTTTTTATAAATTTTAAAGATTATAATTGATAATTTTGAAGCAGGTACCTATAGCCTTAATCACTGGTATTTATGCTTATGGTAATATACAAAATTACAATGCGTTGCGTCTATTTCACAGAACAACGTAACATGCTAAAAGCTAAAACAGTAAACGTAAGATTGACATCAGCTTAATAGATAACACTTAAAAATAAATATATAAATTAGTACACTTAAATTGAAATTACTCTACTCTCTTACACTACCCTTAGCGACTCCATGACGTGGCGTTTCGCGGCGTTACCCGCTTTCCCGCTCCGTTCACCTCAAATTGTCATATCGCGGCATCCTGACTATGGATACACAACAACAGATTAGGAATGTCGAAAGTGAAGAAATATATCGATATATCGATATTTTGAAAATATCAATATCGCCCTCAATATATCGAAGAGAATCGATATAGCGATACATCGGATATTGGTCCTAGAAACACCGTTGTCGAAGAAAACAAAGAGATATGTCAAGTACTAATTATTTGACACCTACGGGGACTCTTTGCCGCATTCGAATTTGTAAAAAAAACATCGTTTTCGATACGATTTTAGATATTGAATATTTTGTACCGTGCCGGATATATCGGCTGAAAATATAAAATCAGAAACATATATATATCGACATTTCGACATCCCTACAACAGATCAGTCTTTAGACCGGTCACCGGGGGGCGCTGTCGCCGCTCGAGTTGCTGAAGTAGTCGCTGAGGTGGGTGACGCGCTCCTCGGTGGGGAACAGCCCCGGCGGCAGCTCCAGGTCCACGTAGAGCTGCCGCTGGGCGGCCAGCTTGTCCACTATGCGGGCGAAGGTGGGCCGCTCGTGGGGCTCGTCGGCCCAGCACTCGCCCATCAGCTCGTACAGGCTGGGCGAGGCGCGCGCCGGCCTCGGCAGCCGCCCGCCGCCGGTCAGGTACGCGGGCACCTGGTGGTTGCTCAGCTCGGCGTACGGGAAACCACCTGAAGTAGCCAGGGCCTGATTTGGAGGTCTGGAGGCCGCGAGGCAACAAAGGAGTGGAGGCCGTCCAAATTATTTTCCAAATAAAATGAACAATTTTTTTCGGTCGAGTTTTCCAATAAATAATTTTACTGTGAAACCAAGTATAAATCTTTTATTATTTAACGAACATATAAATATAATCGAAAACAAGAATTATGAAAGAAAAAGGAAAAGTTGTTTACTAGTGTTTACTATTCTGAATTTGAAGCCTCTTTTGTGGAGGCCCCGGGGCTGTAGCCCCGGTTGCCCTCCCCTAAATCCGGCCCTGAAAATAGCCGCCAACATTTTTGTGCTTGTTTAATAAACGAAACCATTTTTCGCTAACACGCTGATGGTACAGACCTTGACGGTGAATGCAAGGATTTTGAAAAGAGGGGAATGAAAATTAACAATAAGATAAATCCGTTAATATTTAACTTATCCTTTAAACGAGCAATTCTTGTACATATTATAATGGGAATCTCGGAAACGGCTCCAGCGATTTTCATGAAATTTAGTATGTGCGTAGCTTTGGGGGCGAAAAATCGATCTAGCTAGGTTTCATTTTTAGAAAATGCCCTTTAATCCCTGTTTTCAGGGAATAAAAAATATCATTCGAATATGACAGCAAATTTCGCCGCAAAAAAAATGTTATAATAGCTCGGTCGGTAATCGGACGGCCCCAAAACAGACGGCCGCGGTTCGTATCACGATCATATACACACTTATCCTTTTACTTTTTTTCTATACCAGATCATTTTCTTTATTTCCAAAATACATGATGTACCAAAAAAAAAAACGAGCAATGCTCGGTCCTCCAGGTATTATGTGAGAAGGTGGCAAAGTAGCTGGTGGTTCGCATGATGTTGAGAGTTTTTTTTATTTGTTAACAAACACCCTCAACAGATTCGCGGTCCGTACTCTTTTTAACCGACTTCAAAAAAGGAAGAGGTTTATCAATTCGACCGTATATATTTTTATTTTTTTTATGTGTGTTCGGGGATAGCTTCGTCATTTATGAACTGATTTGATGATTCTTTTTTTGTTGGAAAGGAGATATCCCAAGGGTGGTACCATGATAAGGAAACCCAGATCTGATGATATGCCATCATCAGATCTGGGTTCCCAGAGAAATCGAGGGCAATCCTTTTTTTTTTGCTTTCAGTCCCGAGACTGACGCTTCATCTGACGCAGAACCGGTGGGCTAGCCAGAACCCACGGGTTTGGGCCCACGGGTTTGGGCAGGGCAATCCTCAAATATTATAGGCGTAGACAATGTTTTATTAGTTTCCTCTGTGAAGTCGGTTTTTTTTTCTTTTCGTGCTGTCACCGCCGCAATAGCGAAAACCGTTGCGTGTCCTTACCACAGTTATAATTATATACATTTATATTCCATACGTTGACAATAACTTTTTGATTTTCGTAACGATTTTTTCTTTCAATCCCAATTATGCCAGCATTCAACTCAGCATAACAGATTTTGTTGAGAAGCATGCGGCTCCATCTAGTTGGTGGTTTATTTCGCATTACTTTTTCTGGTAGAGGGTCGAAAGCCAATTATTACGACCTAAAGATCGAGTTAATCTCAAATATAAAAGCTTATATATAACTACGTTTATTTAATTAAATTACATAAATGTTAAATACTTAATGATGTTTTCAAAAAGTACCGAGCACTACGGTCTTTTATTAAATCTAAACTAAAGTCTGAACTTATCAGAACCCCTGCGTAAAGTATACATAAAATATAAGCAAAAGTATGTTAAAAATTTTCTTAATTTTTTTTGATTTGCCTGCTCGATTTTGACGACAAAAACATTCTATTTTTTTTGGCCTTATACATATTTCGCGCCATCTATGATTCCTAAAGTGTAACTTTTCGAAGTTTTCTTGTTAGTAATGAATAAGGTCGACGAACGTTTATCACTGCCACCTATCGAAATTTATAAGCATTTTGTTGAAAATATAATCCAGTATCATAGAACTATTTAAACTAACTGTCAAGCTTTATAAATGTTGATAATCTCCTAAACCAGCGATCCATTTGTATTTAACGCTTCGTATGACACGTGAAGGCGTCTTTGAGCCCTGATCGTGCAGTACTATACGTAGAACTATTGCAGTCAACTCTATTGGGCGAGGAAATCAAGTGACAGAGCTAACGTAGTCTCACCGAGTGTAGAAAATCGAGTGGTAGGGCTAACGCAGGCTCACCCGGGTTAGGGAATTGTGTTGTAGGAGTAACGCAGGCTCACCCAGTGTGGCGATCTCCCAAAGCAGAACGGCGAACGCCCACACGTCGCTGGCGCCGCAGTACTGCGCGTGGAATATGGCCTCCGGCGCCAGCCAGCGCAGGGGCACGGGCCTGGCGCGCGTGTGGATGTACACGCCGGAGCGGGAGAGCCCGAAGTCGGCCACTTTGAGCACACCGGCGCCGTCGACCAGAATGTTCCGCGCCGCCAGGTCTCTGAAACGTCGCTGTCTTAGACCTGCCTTTAAACCGACTCACCGCGACCTGTTGGTTCGCGAGCCTTTTTTTTATGAGAACGCGGCAAACGAGCTGGCGTTTCACCCGTTTAATGATAAGCTCCCACCAATGATATTTGAAACACCCGTAGGCACCCCTACGGGCCTTGCCTATGCATACTAATATACTAATATATACTAATACTAATAATATTATAAATGCGAAAGTAACTCTCGTCTGTCTGTCTCGCTTTCACTCAAAAACTACTGAACCGATTTAAATGAAATTCTGTACACAGATAGTCTAGAGCCTGAGAAAGGACATAGGCTATTTTTTAATTGGAAAAGAGTTGTAAAGGGTTGAAAGATATTTATTTAAGTAATAATTTAACGCGAGCGAAGCCGCGGGCGAAAAGCTAGTTTTTAATAAAGTGGGGCCCGGCTGCCTCACTCACTAAATGAAACGCCGTTTTGAAAAATTATATAAGAAATGGTATTTAACGCATATTAAAATTGAGCTGGCAAGTGATAAAATTAAGAGTATAAAATGGAACGTTTGGGGTCAAGATATAAAAAAAACATATCAGATTTGGGTTGTACGTTAAAGCTGGCACTTGACACATTAGTTGTCCCTGTCCGGTAAGATCAAACGCCCCAGCCTGAGGAATTTTTGTGACATGTTACGTAGTTTGTAATATTGCTATAGAGTGACATCAGGCGCTTTACATATAAATCCTTAATGTAAAGCGGCTGGATCCTAGCCAACAGAATAGTTGAGTTTAACTTGTTGAAATTCTGAATGTTTTATTTATATGCATTTGCCAATGCCGATAATAAAAGTTTAAAATTTTAAATAAATACTATACAAAATTTAAATTTTCATAATGCTATTCTCGGCACTTAAGATGAAACATTAAAATTTATAGAAAAAATTTCAGCAGTGTAGCAATCAGCCTTTTAGCTTAGTAGTTGTAGCATCAGAGCGAGTATCCAGATGACTTGGATTTGTTCCCGCAGCGGCGGAAAACTTTCCGCCCTTTTTTACAAACTTTAAAATACTATATACATAATAAATACTCGAATATATTTAATTCGTATTTTAATTAAATGAGTTTTTGGAAAAATGCGTTCCGATCCGATATTGCTTTTGCTCGGACGTTTGTATCTGTCCCCTTGCTTCTCAAGCGTTCACAATATGCTCAAATCAAACAAGGACCCGGAACAATTGAGTTCTATCGGAAACCATTAAATCGGAAGTTTTTTCAATTTCGTCCATTTTAATCATAATAATTCTTGTCGACCCAATGTAGATCAGCCGTACGTTGTCAAATCAACTGTATTAGCGAGAAATACCTCCTGAGGAATATTATTATTCGAACCTGGGAACATCTTGAGATAACCTAAGCCTGTTGGTTCTAACCTCTAACGCTTCCAAGAGGGCGAATAAATAATTCGTAAATATGCAATATTAAGTTATTGCTTGTTGATTGTTATTATATGTGTTTTATAGTCATTATTTGTGTTGTCGCAAACGCTTCTATAACAATAAAGCACATAACGACGCGTAAATCCAGCCATGACAGCAGTAAATTCGTACGTTTATAAAAACGTAGGTATGTGTTGCGGTGTACGAAATTAAATGTAACCGGAGCTCGGAGCGGGCGCCAACAGCCCGGTAGGTTCCTGGAATGCCCCGGAAAATTCCCGGAACCTTGCGCGACCTCGCGGGTCCCGAATCAAAGTTTACTCAAGGAAGGTATAACGTAATTGGCCTCCACTTTCTCGTTACGCTCGTCTTGCTGTTTATAAACGCAGCGTTTTTATTTGTTGATTATTTGAGTATGGCGATTCCTCTACCACAAAGCTACTTTTAAATATACTTAATGAATAAACAGATAATTATTTGATATTTGTATAATACTATGATGAGTACCGATATTTATTAATTTAGTTTATTTTATCACTATAATGTATATGTTACCGGTCAAACCCGATTTCAGGACAAACTAGTTTTGCCTAGGCTAAACTAGTTCTTCCTATACGCGATAGGAGTAACTAGTTTAGCCTAGGCAAAACTAGTTTGGCCCAAGCCCGATAGGATAAACCAGTTTAGGCTAGTCCAAACTAATTTGTCCTAAGCCCGACAGGATAGACTTGGCCAAACTGGTTGATCCTGATATAAATACGCACACTCTAGGATAAATTGGTATGGCCTAGTCTAAACATCATAGTATATCTAGGAAGTAATTTTATATGTAAACTTATAATAATTTTATTTATATATATATAAATTTGCACACCTGCCCATTTGTGCAACAGCCGAAGTTCTTGCGTGGCCCTACCACAGGCAAACATAGGGCGCAAATCTTAAATTGTGGATAAGAGAAAGAGATCATCAGTTGTTTTAAAGAGCTTGAAAAAGTGGACAGCACCATGACTTTCATTTTCTATTTTTGTTTATAAAATTCTTATTATATAAAAACTAGTTACGAATTAGTTTAGGATTAGATATGAATTATTTACTTTTACTGGCTTTTTATTTTCTATAAGGTTGTTCGTATATAAGCGGTTGACCTTTTCATTATAATAAATAATTGCGATTGATGGAAAATTTTGTAGCGCCTAACTAAATATTATCGCAATGTAACAAACCAATATTTTTGCGTTTACAATTTTGAAGATTCCAACAAGTATTTGAATAAAACAGCTCGTGTCCTTTGGAAGCCCTATCACTATGATTGTTCATTGCTTTTAAATTTTATAGTATTACACTTTCGCGTTTCATATCTATTGAGTGAGGTAACCACGGCCCATCTTTTTAAAGGTTTGCCGTCACAAACCAATTTGATAGACAACAACGGGTGGCGGTAATCACTTAACATATAGTATATACCACTTTCTCGCTTGCCAAATTAACACAGATCTAACTCCCAAAACTCAAACATTGTCCTAATATATACAAATAGTGGTGTGATGCCATAACGGTTCATATTTCGTGAGAAAGAATACAACTATGGTAGGGCCACGCAACTGTGTTCACTGTTGCACGAATGGGCATGTCCGTCTGGGTAAGTACACGACCTCACAGAAGACCGGCGTAAAGTAGAAAGTGTTCCACTTCTGTGTTTCGTCTGGTGAGTGAGGTAGACGGGACCCACTTTATTTAAAGGTGGCAACGCGTTTGCAACCGTACGGATGTTGGAAATGTGCCATGGGCGGTGGTTATCACTTAACATCAGGTGAACCGCCGGTTCGTTGGCCACTTTTTCGCATAAACAAAAAGCTTGGGTCCTCACCGGTGAGTTATTCCCCTTTCCTCCAAATGCCTCATACCCAAGGCTACTTGTAGGGCGTATTCCCTCATGGTCCCGCTGTCCAGCTGAAGGGCGGGCTCTGCCACGTAGTGGTCCCTGCCACGCTCACTCTTGTCTCCGTATAGCTTCTCGTCGGTCAGCGTCGGATCAGAATCGCTCAGATTTGTGTAATCCGCTGCAATATGCACTTAGGTTCAAAGAAATATTTATTTCTCAAAAAAGGAATATTACAATATTCACTTAACTATGAGAAAATTTTACATAGTACATGTTAAATAACAATTTAAAAAGCGTGGATAATCGGAGTTATTGCTTAACTTCCTATTTTAATTAATCCCTTAGCACCAAACTTACGTTATGCCATTTGTTTTGTGCGTCTATAAAGTGTAAGTGCTGCAAGTTCTCAATTTTATAGAAAAGTATAGATATAGAGAAGTTGCAAATAAGCAAGTAGAAGATTAGAGATAAGAATTAAATTGGAAATTGGTAGTTTTATGACGTTCAATAAAGTACACATTGAATAAAGGAATTCTGACTTTGAGAAAAAAAAGTTTTAGGTGCCATGCCAACGTAAGCGGAATGCTACGTATATAATCCAAAACGGCTAAAATTATTTTGATAAAATTTTCAGGAAAGTTTAGGATTAGCCCATACTGTAACGTTTGGTAGCGACCGGATCTATAGAATTTTTTCGTTAATTTGTTCTACACATACGAAGCCAGGACGGGTCCGCTAGTTCTTAATATTATTCATATCTCGGAGCGAGGACAAACATACGCACAAACTTCACTTATAATAGTCGTATTACCACATGTGACTTGATATTTATTTTTTAATTTTTTATTTATTCTTTATTGATAACCTTTAGGTAACAAAGGGCGGACTTAATACCCAAAGGCATTCTACAAGTCAACCAAGGACGTACTGAAAGCTTGTGGTAGGTGCTGCAAGGGATGCAAAAATTATAAAATAAAAGGTAAATATAATATAAGTACTACGTAATGCTCTTACAGTACATATGTAAATAGGTCTTACAGTCGCCTTCCGAGGGTCTGCTCGTGGCATCGCTGTCCTTCTTGGGATTGGAGCGCTGTACGTTCTGCTTGCGTCTCCCTCTAGCAGCCCGCAAAAGAGAGAGAAGGTCTCCCCTCGGCGCGTGCTCTAACAGGGCTATAAGGGGCGCCCGCGTAGTGCAGCACCCGACCAGCCTTATCACGTTCACGTGGTATCCGACGTGTTTCAGCATCAGTATTTCTCGGAGGAAATCCTGCATTTCTTCCTCCGATGCGTTGTCTACAGTCACAATGGCAAAGACAAGCTTACTTTTCCCTATATTTGGTGATTTCTTTTGGTGTTACCACCAGGCGTGGATTCTGCTGGGATATAGGACGTCATGACCTCCTCCAAAACTGAATATATTTCTCTTGAAACGTTTAACTGCGAACTCCTTAAGAATCATACATACAATTGTCTATCATGAAATGAATGAAATTACCATAAAAAGATAAAGATTGAAATATTATTCAATCACCGTAAAGTTAAATAACGTAAAGTAACAGCCTATATATGTCCCACCGCTGAGCAAAGACCTTTTTAATTTGTGTATTAGTGTAAAGTCCACCACACGAATCCACTGCGGATTGGCGAATTTATCTAGTTACAGATACTTATGGCGAAAATATGCAGGTTTCTTCACGATTTTTCCTTTAACGCTGAGCACGTGATAAGCCAGCACTTAAAATTGCTATCAACAAATTAATTGGTGCCGGCACCAGGATTTGAACTCAAATTCCTTTAGTATATTCTAGTATAATATAGTTATACTCTTAGTATATTTAATAAAGTGAAAGCCCGGACAATGGCTTTGACAAACATCGACTTAACCTCTTCAAACCTTTAACAGACTAGTACACAATTGCTCTTGCATTTATAAAAATACACAAAAGTAAACAGCTTAATGAATGACATTGATTTTTTGTATCCTTTTAATTAATATGGTTGGATAAATAAAGGGTCTTGTAAAGTATAAATATATAAAAAGTTGTAATCCAATCTATTATTCTATTGGAATGCACTTCCTTAAGAAATTGGGATGACTGATGGTTTGCTTTTAAGATTGTAAAGTATGGAAACTGTTTCTGAAAAATGTGGTAATCAATTATATCATTAGCTATGTATTTAATTTAATTTATTATATATTATAATTTTGTATATGTGTATACAAAATTATAATATATAATATTCATAATATTCAATTCCCGCCCATCGGCGTAAACTTTTCGAACATTTTCTAATAAATTTATGTCTCATCTTAAGTGCAGCACTATACAAAGTTAATATCAAATTACAATTTCAATGGTAAAGGCGACATTTACTCGTTCGAATTATAATATTTAAAAGTTTTTTGAAATTGTTTGGTGGGACATACCGTTTAGCTTAGAGGTTAAAGCGCCTGGGCGCGATTCAGGTATACGTGGATTCGTTTCTAAATAAATTTTAATAACATCCAATTGCAATGACAGTCACAGTTGGTTGGCAGCGCTTTGGAAGCGAATAATCATTCGATCATGTTGTGAAATAGACAGAGGCATGAAGGACCCATAAGGAATATCCTTCATGGGAGAGCGGCTCGTAGAGACACTACCTTTAACTCGGTATCGGAAGCCTTACGTAGTCCCTAGGGCTGAAGCCGAAAAAATTATCCAATAATAATAATTATAAAAGTAATTAACAATTTCATTAGTACCTGTATCCGCACTTATGTTGCTCTCGAATACGGTAAACTATCTTTACCAGGACTTAAGATATATCTATAAAGGTCAAGAATAAAACGCCACAATTAATGACCACTTAAGTAGTTTTACGTGGCGAGTGATTCGTCCAATTGTTAGCCAGGTTAGGTGCATTAACCACGTTATAACTTTCATTTCCTAGACATCTTTATGTAATGCTAATTGTGCTCGTGGGTAAAATTAATTTGAAGTTTGTATTAGACGCTCTCTAAAGGTGTACAATCAGAGATGGAGCTATTAACAGCGTGGTAATTGCGTTTTATGTGCTATTGTTTTGACTCGGGTTCCACATTTAAGATGGGTTTAAATCTGTGGCAAGCGTCGATGATTGATTCCTATTTTTCAGTTTGTTAAAGACAATGCTTGGTAATTCTCTGCGTGATAGAGTTTGTAACGAAGACATCATCAGTAGAAACAAAGTAACCAAGGATTAGCAAATTGAAGTGGCCATATAGCTCGTAGAACCGATAACCGTTGGGGAAGAAAGGTTCTCGAGTGGCATCCTCGTACGGCCAGTAGTATCGCAGTGTAGGACGACCCCCCACTAGATGGAGTGACGACCTGTGCAAATGTGCGGGAAGTCGATGGATGCAGGTGGCTCAAGATTGTACTTCGTGGCAGTCTATGGGGGAGGCCTTTGTTCTCAGTGGACTCAAACAGGCTGAAATGATGAAGATAATAAGGACAATCGACTAATAGAGTGCTACAGGCGTTGAACGACTCCTATAATGTTAATGAGTTAATATTTAGCTGTATAATTTGTCAATACTACCCTCCGACATATTATGTGCATTATTATCACGAAATTCGTGTGGGCAGTAACGTCATCAAAATGTTTTTTGTTCTCTTGAACATTTTCTATCTTCAGTCCTGGACGTTTTGTAACATGTATTATCACTCTTGCTTTGTGTACTGGATCCCCGGTGCCGGCACCAATGAAATTATTAATTTATAGTGCTGAATCATCACTTGCTCAGTTCAAGGAACCAGTTTAAGTAAAACATCGTGAGGAAACCTGCATATTTTCAAATAATAACAAAAAAGGTTTCGAAGATATATGAAATCCGCAGGGGGGCCGCATGGTGGATTATGCCGTAAGACCCTCTGCTCAGAGGAGGCCTTTGCCCAGCTGTGGGACGTATATAGGCTGTTACTTTATAATAAAAAACTTTGTGGTGGGACCACGCAGCAGCCTTGGCAAATGGGGCAGGCTCGTCCGGGTAAGTACCATGACCTCACAGAAGGCCCGCGTAAAGTGGAAGTATAATACTTTCGCCTTTCATCTGGTGAGTGAGGTAGCCGGAACTCAATTTTCAAAAGGTTGTCAACGCATCTACAACTATCGGGTGTAGCAGATGTCCATGGGCGGCGGTACTCACTTAACATCGCGTGAATCGCCTGCTCGCTTGGCAACTCTTCGCATAAAAAAAGTGCTATACCTGACAGCATTTTCGCAGCGACAGTAGTGGTCTCTCCTCCTGCCATGTCGAGCTCAGCGACGTGCACCCTGCCGAAGGCACCGCTTCCAATAAGGGCTCCAAGATGCACTCGCGTTCGCGCCACCTCCCATTCGTCAGTGCCTTCCCCTGTTGTCTAAAATCATTGTTATTTGAGGGCAGGGGAATCCCCTTCCATAACAAATGTTAAGATACCAACGATTTTATCGTTTGTAGTCGAAACGCAATGGAATACTTAATCTATGTTTTCATTAAACTTGGATTTAGTGGTGTTTGATTTTTTCAATGCTACGGCAACATGTTTTTGTTTTAGGTTAAGTATGGAGTTAAAGAACAAATTCAAATACGATATAACACAGAAAGCTGTTCCATTGAAAAGCGTATGGTGATAAAATTGTGGATATATAATGTTTTTTACATAATTTCTAGTGTAATACTACGAAATAGCTTCCACTGTTGCACGGCCTTACAGAAGACCGGCGTGAATTGCAACTATAACACTTTTGCGATTCCTCTGGTTAGTGAAGTAGCCTACCATTTCAATGAACGCATCTGCAACCCGTCAGGTGCAATGGACATCTTCAAGTTAGCGGCGGTCATTACCGCGTGCTCGCTTGACAACTTATTATGAAAAAATAACTGCTTTTACCAGTTCAACTTTTCTATCTAATTCAGTATCCTCAAACAACAAATTGAATATCGAGAAGTTTCAGACAGCTGCTATGTTAACTTTAGAAAAGTCATCATCGGGTACGCTTGAGCGTGTAATAATTAGAATTTTACTGCTGAACTTTAGTTGAACAGTGTTCCAACTCGGGGTAAAAAAACAACAGTCACAACCGTTTTTGTAACAACTTCTGACTGTCAGATGAATCGAAATTTAAAATAAACATTTTTCATACCTCAAACTCTTTGTGGACGTAGAGGGGGCTGTTTTCCATTTGACCCCGCGACGGAAGCTCGCTGTTTCTGAGGACAGAGTAATTCGTCAATTAATATTAATATATTTTCTTTTTCTCGATAAAGTCATCCATTTCTGTCGTTTTCTTATTAACATTCATTGACCTAAGGGCCGGAACAATTATTAGAATTCTAATTTCGGTGGTTTCAATCGAATATTTTTCTTTGTTTCATTTAACTATATGAATATAAGTTATGTTTTTATATATATATATATATATATATTCATATATAGTATACGTTTTACTTTTAAAATATAATCTCTATCTAATTTCTAATCTATAAATTTTTATTCTACTAATGTTATTTTTAAGTGTTCAGTGTTCAACTTCAGTAAGCGGCCAAAAACACATATTTTTTGAAAAAAAAAACTTTTTTTTTATTATTACCCAATATTTTTTTCTGCCCATACTATATGCTACTACTGCCTATTTAGCTGATATTCAGTTAAAGTAAAAGGCGCAGATTATCTTCGTACTCTAAGCATTATTTCTAGATTTTAGCTACCCAATGGAAATATTAGCATTTCTATGTTGAACTTAGAACTAAGAAAGAGGTCTTAATTAAAAAAAATTACAAGATGGGCAGAAATAGTTATATGGTGATATTTTAATTAGTTTACTTACAACACGCATGCTTTGGTGGTAGGGCCACACACCAGCCCCGGCTGTTGCACGAATGGGCAGGCTCGTCCGGGTAAGTACCACGACCTCACAGAAGACCGGCGTAAAGTGGAAGTATAACACTTTCGCGTTTCGTCTGGTGACTGAAGTGGCCGGAGTTCAATTTTCAAAAGGTTGTCAACGCATCTGGAACCCTCGGGTGTGCATGGGCGGCGGTATTCATTTAACATCAGGTGAACCATCTGCTCGTTTGGCAACTTTTCACATAAAAAAAAATGCATTTCATACATATAATAAGGTTTAAGGACTCACAGAAATATGGTACATAACAGTGTTAATTTTAAGTAAATTTACAATTTATATTCCTAATGAATATCTACATTAATACGTGAAGCAAAACTTTGTTCCCCTTTTTACGAAAATTGCGCGGACGGAAATTTCCCACACTTATAGTTTATGTAGAGAAGGAGTCCAGAATGCTAATATTTTTTTAAAAAGATGCATAAAAATACATTCAATCAATAAAATAAACATTACACACACTACCATGTCTTTTTTTTACACATTTCTTACACAACATTCTCTAATCTCAAACTAAGCAGCGCTTGTACTATGGATACTAGATAACTTATAAACATACTTAAACATACTTTTCTTTTTGTAAATAAATACGTATTGTACAAATACAAACACCCGAAGCCGATACCTTGGCAACTACGCCATGGAGTCATCAATTAAATTAATATAAATTAAATTAATTATTTAAATTAATTATGGATTTTCCCCACTGGGTCACTAGTGTCTATGAACATAGAAACGCAATGTTGTTTTCGCACGTGATCTAATAGAAAAACGAAATTTTCTTTTCGAAATATTTATTTTTATTCAATATGGAAAACTTACGAAAGTAAGTCCGGAGAATCTTGTTATTTTGCGTTATATTCAATCGATGCAACATATTTAGAAGTACCTTTTAGATAAATAAATATGGTTTAATTTAAGGTGAGGCCGTTCAGGCGTTCCGATGGAGTGTTTTCCGTGTATCTATCGAGGGTGGGTGTTTTGTAATTAAATTTATAGGGAGTTGATACTTATCAATCTGCCAGTTTGAAAACATTGAGATAGCGAGCGTACTCTAAAGGATTGAATAAAGGTAGACTGATAATTTGTATTTCTTCTTAATAAATTATATATTTTATGTATTATTAATTTTATATATTTGGCGTGATTTGTTTTTGCTTATAATCATAACGACGATACCAAATTCTAAAGAGATATCCGAAGAATAAAAGTATAATCTAGAGTAATGAACGCTATCGCTCGAGTCGTTTGTTTTTTTTATTAAATTGAAAGATTTCACAATTCGGAAATGTGGTCTCATTATGAGAACTTGAAATCTTGTTATGTGCAAGATAATGACAAGGAAATTGATGTTTAATTATCACTCGGTATGTTATCTAATTGACGGTGAAATTGTGTCTTCATTCTCGAAGGGACGTTTTTATTTATTTTGTCTTAAGCAACATTTCTCAAAGCGAAAGTTAATGAACACTGAAATTATAAACGGCCGGAAATTTTTTTTGAGGTCCGGTAAATTTGGTGTGAAATTAAAAGACAAGTGATTAAAACGCATGGTTTAGAAATATTTAAAAAAAACTATGATAGTAGCAGAGTTACTAGTATGAAAGCCAATTTTAATAAATATAAAAGTATAAACCACTAACTGAATATTATTAGTATCGCATATGCTGCAGTTTTTAGAAGACTTCCATGACACACATTGATTGAGACTTTAGTCATTTTTTTTTACTTTAGTTTATTTTGAATAAGGTGTAGGTACCGATGTTTTCCGAACGCTGCTCATCCGTAGATTCGCCTTTTGACCTCTGCGAAGTTGGATTTAAATTCGAAATCGAACGATTCTTCCTCATGTAACGTAGCTTTGTGTCGTGGTGGAGTACCAGGTAGTATCTTAGTACCAGGTAGCATGAAAGGGTCGGTTCGTTATTTATTTAATGACAGATGTACTGACTGCTTAGGTGAGCTACCTTCTCCCATAAAAAAGAACTTGTTCTACGATCACTTCTGTCTCTGTGATCACTCGCCTTCTTGTTATTTATGGGGCCGGTGAATTTATATCCAATTGCTTGTTGGCACAAAAAAACGCGGATAAACTAATCGACCTCACTAATGTTACAATATATAAAGGTAGAAGATTAACGCCCGGTTTCTGAAACACTGATGCCCAGTTTCCGAAAGGCCAATCAAAGCAGCAATCACATAACACTATGTCAAAAATGATCAGCTGTTAATCTCTTGTTAAACTGCCTTGGGTTTCTGGAAGGTTTGTTCAAGAAAAATAGCTAATCACTGTATAACCAATGATAATGAATGAAATGAATGATTCACTTCAACTAACTCTTTCTATTGTATAGCTGTCCCTTTTTAAACAAAACTTAATTTAACGTCACTATCCAGTCCTGTCACCGTGTGATTGCCAACGTAAAAATTCGGGCTATAATAAAATTTAATTTATATAAATACATGCAAAATGTCAAAAATAAAACATTACAGAACGTGAAAAAAATTAACTTTTATCCATAATAAACAAGTAAGTATTATAAAAAGAAAGAATCCATATTATTTATTAACTTTTGAATTGCATTTTGTATTTTTTCTAATCACATGATATGTTCGCATAATAATAAATAATAAATAGATAATAGAACACATGAATGTCCTAACAACGTATTAGGGAATTATGTTTATTTTTAATAAAAATTAAGATTTTTGATAAAATACATTTTTAACCAACGATTGATCGTCCAAATTGACAGATTACTTAATAAAACTTTGACAGCTCGTTGACCACCGAAAAACGCTTTCAGAAACTCCATTTTCTGTTGATTGTCCGTTAATCAGTGACTAATTGCAAATCAAAATCAATGTTGTTTTTAGACGTTCTAGCAACTCAGATCATGTTAAACAACGATTGACAAGAGATTTATCGTAAATTAAAATTGATTGCGCTTTCGGAAACTGGGTGTGACCATCGTAGAAGTCAACTAAACAGCTGTCAAATAGATTTTCAAATGTTATTTCAGTTGCCAAAAGTATTTTTAAACTCTTTGAATTGATCAATGATGATCAGTGCTTCAGAAACCGGGCGTAAGATATGCATATTATAAATACGGCAGTATTAGAGTGTTCGGAGCTTTTAAATTGAATACTACTTTTTTAATTCAAATATGAACTTATTGCCCTTTTACTAAAAAAATACTCAAAAACATGACGCAGTGAGGACTATTGCATTATACGTGTCTTTCGTATTCGTTACAAAAGCTCAGTACGATGTCTCGAGTCAAGGGTTAGAACTTGCGACCGTAGTGACGTAACGTTTACGCAAACCATAACTTACCTATCGCACGTTTCGCACGATTCTACCGATTATGTTTTCAATGTCGACGCAACAGCTTAACGGTTTTCAACCGTATTTCTCTATAAGTAAATGTAATTTTTAACCTCCAACAGCAAACCACAAGAAGATTAGGGTTAAGAAAGTTGAAATCTATTGGTTAACGGCAGTTTTATGTATTATCCTGTGTTTTAAGTAAGTAACTCCAAGATTTTGGCGTTTGGTATTAAGCTAAATTTTATCGGTTTAGTTTAATTAAATTTTATATCATTATATTTTATAACGTTATGTATAACGAACTAGATCTTGTGGTCAAACCATATGGTAAAAATAAAGTTATACTTAATACTTCATTCGTACTAAGTAATATTAACTCATTGTAACATAAATTCAACAATCAATAAGTCTAAACGGATATTTTTTGTTGTGAACTCAGACCCGTTTACAAGCATTTATTAGATGTCATAATTATGTATTTTATACTTCTGCTTTAATCATTTAAATTTTTATAGTATTGTTTGCTTTTTGTAATCTCTTTAGATGACAAGTTTTTTTATAGCGCAGTTTAAGCAGCAGTTGATCCTTGTATAAAATAATATATTTTTTTATGTGAATATTTGTTAAGCGAGCAGGCGGTTCACATGACGTTAAGTGAAGACCGTCGCCCATGGACATCTGCTAAACCTATTATTGTTAATGTTTACAAAATCATTATAATCTAATGGCGCCTTTAACCGTTTCCAAAGCTAGTCCCGTATTAAAAATTAAGAGAATGTATGTGCGAAATTGATATGGTTAAATGCTGCAATCGGTATGGTACGTAATTTATTTATCGAGGTTGAACCGAAATTTTATTAGGCGTGTACGTAATTCTATTTATGATTGTACATAATAAGTGCTTGTAATTTCGGTCTATAAAGTTATGATAAGACCTTTTAACTCT